CATACAGTCTATAAGCGATTTGATTAATCATTTTTGTCCACACATTTGTCTCTGTTTTCAATATTTAAACATATTTTTTATTGTTTATTACATTAACGAAAATATATATCTCTTTAAACCAAATGATCGATAAGTTATTGTAATTTACACACAATTAATGCAAATATAAGTTGTATTTTTGGTTGACTACAACCGAAACAAATCTTTTGCTTTTGTTAACCATTTGTTGATTGATTTCTATTAAAACATATTTCAATGTCCGACAAAATGAATGAAAACACAGCCATAATAGCAATTATTGAGCGAAACTGTCTTTCACTCGTCGGTAAACGGAGACAAACTTTTGTCCGCCATTTCGGGTCACTTTCTGGCCCTCTTCTGTCGAATCAAAGAGTTTGGGCACAACTGGATCGGCGTCTATATCGCTCTGATCCAGGCTTTCAAACAAAGGATGTGCGCTCAAGTGGCCGGTCATCCAGTCGTGCAACTGCTGGACATCGGTCGCGGTGTAGAGCCGGCCCTCAACTGCCAGACAATAGGCGTATTCGGAGAGAAGTTGTGGTGAAATGATTCTCCACTTGTGTTTCTGTTTCTTGAAGTGCGGATCCGGGAAAAGGAAAAACATTTTCGTCAACTGACTCTTCGGAAACAGATTCGGCAAATACTTCATAGCATTACTCCGAAGACAACTCACGTTCCAGTATTGGCCTTCGTTTTGCAGCCTTAAGGCCGCGATTCGGTCGCAAACAAAGTCACACACTTTGACCCGAATCTCGAGGCCTAACATAAGTGTCTTCGGGAACAGCGGTGACAGCGCTATGAGAAGTCCTCCGTAACCGCAACCGATGTCCGCGAACTCAACGCCACGACAGTCGCCGCCGACCTTCAGCTCGGCGTTCGGGTAATGTGTGGACCAATCCATGGATTGCGGATCCGATGGATACTCGAAACAGTGGTCAGCGATTGGGTTTGAATGAGCTCTTTGTCGATAGAATCGCTTCTGCGGTAATGCTATGGAGTCTGCGGTCGTCGACGAAGACTTGACTGATTGCGAGACTTCTTCGCTGCCATCGGTGTCGCATCCGATGTCGCGCTCCTCCTCTTCGGTGGCGTTCATTGTCTTCAAACTGATGTCCGATATATTGAAAGCAATGAATCAAACGTTAGGCCGAAAACACATGTCTTGTATTGAATATTGAATAATAAAAACATTGCATTTAATGCGCGAATGCATTGAAATGTCACACAAATTATGTCTATTTTATTCATCCCTTTTTTTAATCATTTAATTAATTTTTTATTTATTATAAAGTTTTAAAAGTATTCAATTAATGGATTACGTGATCATTTCAGTGTAATATTCATTATATTAACAAATAGTAATAATAATAATATTTGCATATTTGAATAATTATCATGTTTTCATAAATAAAATGACAAATATTACACGTGATAGAGGTGTGGATGCAATAAATGCATTAAGGTATTGATGATAATTAGCACAATGTTAAAGTTATATCGATTTATTATGAAATAATTAACTATCTCGATTGCAATGCCCATATAATAAATACCTATTTGGAATATATCCAACAAGTTCACCACAACCAAGGTGATTGTTGTAGATGTAGTGGTTGTGGTTAATGTATTTGAGACTTGCATTATATTCTGTACCCTAAATATACCCAAAATCTATTCATAACACGTTTAATGGAAATGTTTGCCATAAACGAAAAGTAAGCATGATCATAAATAAGTATTTATAGAATAGTTTATTCAACAGGATAAACCAGAATAAATATTATAATAAAACAACATGTGAAATAAGCATGCTACATTCATGTCTACAATATATTGAGACAATAATATATTCTACTAAATGATTGATGCGATAAATCATAGAATAAAATATTCAATTAGTATTTTTAATGATTATAAAATGTTTCATAAAATAAAGTGAAGTAAAAATGATAGAAAACATATTTGATAAAGGTGTAAAATGATATGATGATGTTGTTTATTTGATAAAGGTAGAAAGAAGCGATATTAATGTAAATCCAGTATAGAGTTTACAACTTAATGTTGAAATATGGCATACTTTAGGTAAACAACAAATCATATCCATTGCAAACCCAAATCAGTTACAGGATATAAGCCTAAATCACGGGTTAAATATAGAGTATATAAAATTGTGGTCACATTTGCGGTACAATTGGCACAAATAAAGGGCAAGAATTTAAAGCCGCAAAAAACTTAACAAACTTTGAATTTAAAGTCGTTTTTTATGGCAAACCATTGTTTTGTGAGAAATTCAAAAGTGATTTCATTATTGTATTCGTCTGTCAATTGTGTGACTCTTTTCTGAACGCGAATCCAATCCTTTAATTGATATCACATTTAGTTATGAATCAAATGATTGACTCAAACGATACGTTCAAATCACCGAAGAGTGGTTCCCAACGAAAGACATCTCATATAGCGCTGTATAAGACATCTCCCAATTGGCAACACATCTACAAAAAAGTAAGTATTTCTTTGTTGTTGTTTTGGTCGCCAAACGTGTGGTCGTAATCGACGGCCAGATGTGGTGACAATTGTGTGACCACTTGTATTACAAGATTACCCTAATGTGTGTCTCTTTGTGTCTCTCGAGGAATGTGTGTCACGACTGAACGATCGCCGAAAGGAAAGCCGTTCGCGACTTATAGAGCGGTTCCGAAACATCGACTTAAATGAGACTCCGATTAATGTGGAAGAGATGGTCGACTCCGAGAAACACAATATCGTAGAGCAAGTGATGCGATCCGTTTGGGATCAATACACGTCTCAATTGCCACCAATAGATCCGAACGATGTCTCGGACTTTATGGAACACATCAGACAAGAACTCCTCATCGAAGGTATGGACTATTGTCTTCATGTTTAGACACAAAAAGGAGGAATAGATCTAAATGTTTGATACAAACAGAGAACCAGTATTGGGAAGAGATGTTGGAGTGGCGTAAGGAAGAAGAGGTCCAATGGATGGTTACGAATAGGGATTCTGTCGTTTGTTTCTTCTGTCAGAAGAATCCATTGAAAATGAATGCATTGATTGACAACAAAACGGAATTAATTTGCAATAAATGTGGTTTCTATTTACAAACTCCGGTAAAATATTCCAGTCTCTCTCTCTCTCTCTCTCTCTCTCTCTCTCTCTCTCCATACGCTGTAAATCATTCACTATTTGTCTCTTACGGACACTTTTAAAGAATTGTGTATTAATTGAAACAATGATTGGCTTTTTGTGTGAATAGTTTTCATTGAGCGCCGCTTACATACAAGAAAGGATTGATTACATACTGAACCGCCACTCATCTCATTGCGCGAACACATCACTCAAATTTGATCTCATCAACGATTGCTCGAACGTTGGATTTAATAACATCTCAGTTTCATGTGTAGTAAGTATTAAATTTAACTTTTTTGTGTTAGTAACAGATACTTAACACATAGAGAGGCCTCTATTTTTGGTTCAAATTGAGTAGAAGTAAGAGATTGTTTGCAATGTTATGTAAACTTAGATAATAGATAATAAGTTTCATTACATTTTGTTTCCAACCCTTCCCTTGAATCACACAATTGCCATAAGAAGGCAATGATTATCTGTCCCTTTCCTGATCTTCAAATGCTATTAATAAACAAATTAATCTCATTATGTGAATAATATTTACACCAAATAGTGTTTAAAATTTATATTTTTCTGTCATTTTTGTGTAAATATATGCCTAAAAACATACAAAAAATTCAATAATCAAAACTATGAAACCCTAACAACAGTACGAGGAATATATTTGATAAGTACTTGAAAATAACTTTACATTTAAACTATTAATAGTATTAGAGTTTTGTTTGAAACATAATTATGCTTTTTAATGAATATATAGAAAAAGTAAATCTTAATTTTGTTTGCAATTTACAGGTCTGTTCCAGAAGTGACTTTATGTTCAAAGACTTGAATTACATTTGTTTGTAAATAACCTTTTCTACGAAAACGAAAATAAGTGGTTTAATGTTATAATTGACGCAAATTGTCTCACTTTCACTGTATAAACATATGTTTTAAAATTGTTTTTAATAATTTGTTTCATTAACTTTGAATATTTTTCCAATACATTATGTTTTTTATTTATATTATATTTCACTCATTATAAGCAATTAATTTTGATAAATAAATGATACGAAAGTGTAATTTATTTAATTATAAATGTGTTTATATTTTTCTTATAAATCATTAATCCTTTAATTTCATTGACTCTTCGACTCTTATCTCAATAAATATCAGTGTATTTATGTTTTAGTAAAAAAAACTATACTTTATATTGTAGTGTGTGTTAAAAGTGTTGTATTACATGGACTTATGGCGCAAATTGTAATCAACAAAATCATATGATATTCATTTGAATCGACACAGTATTGCGCACCACAACAGCCCCCGACTGTCGCCCGCCCCACCCCTACCCCACACTGGATGTGCTGTTTGGTTGGCAACATTTGCACAGCAATTCAATTTAATTTAATGACATTCATTAACGCAAACTAACTAACGATTAAGTATTGCAGATGACCAGCGAAATCAGTGGCCATAACATTGTCCCCAACCATGGCTTCAAACATATGCAAAACTTTTACTCTCATTTTCACCTAAACGTTATCCATTGCTTTGATCTATTGTGCTGTTGTTGTCAACTATTGTCTGATAGAATATTCGCATATATTTTTATTGTGTTTAGTTTTTATTGTATCCAAAGGTACTCTTTGTTGCGTTCAGAGAAAACAACTGGCGATCCCTTTCAGGGTTCTCCTCTCTCACAGCACCCGTAGGGCAGAGCCTACAGGCCATCCATAGGACTGCCACCAGTCATATGCAAAGCATATGACTGGTCTGATTGAGGGCCATATAGTTTATAAATTCATATAATGTTAAATAAAACAAATAAAACTACAAAAAAATTATAACTCATTAATAAAAGTTAACATAAAAGACAATTTGTGAGCAAAAAAGCTGTTTTAAGAGCGCGTATAATATTATGCACTGAAAAAGGACTGAAAAATAAAAATTTTGAAAAACTTTTTTTTAGTCCTCTCCTCTCACATGACTTTTGAGGCTTACATAACGCAAGCCATACAATGGTATACACTATTGGGGGGCTGGGGTTGGGGTGAGTTGTGGGGGGAGGGAGTGGTGTATGGAGTTGTGCGCACACAACACAGCACTTACAGCGCACGTGAATATGCAGTGAATATACAGTACAGGCAATAGTTGTGTGCCTTTAATATTAAAGCTATTGATTGTGACGTCAAATGAAAACAATGTATTGAAAAGAGTGCAGACATCGAGTGTATGGCGAAGTCAGCTGAGGGTTAGGGCTGTGATAGGGCTGAGGCTATGGTTAGGCTTTGGCTGTTGTTGTGTTGAGTGAGTGTTGCGCTCAAAACACTATTGCATTTCTCTCGTTGTTATCATTCATTCAATGAGTGCTTCACTCAGTGTTTAGTCAATACAAAGTGAATGGCGTCTCAAATGAGACCACAATAAACATTACCATTAAAGACATTGAATAGTAATCGCCATTCAATACACACCACAACCACTACAGACACGACAACCACTTCTTCGCCGTCCAGTTGTTGTCGATCTAAACAGACATCGATTTGTTGCCAAAACAATAGGCCATC